GAAAAATGCATAAGAAAATGATAAAACGGCTACAATGGGTATCTCTCCCGAACATGGGAGAGAAACATTTCCCAATTCAGCATGGCACTGTCAATGGAGAAGTCGCAGCACATTCTTTACATATGTTCATCTAAATGACTATAAATGAGATCCTTTTGAGATCTATTCATAGCCCTTATTCTATTTTTCAGTCGACCCCAAAATCCTTCAGTGGAATTTGTATGAGTCCCTGTAACTTGGTCCACGAAATCACTGGAGTGGTTCACTCCGTGATGAATGTATCCCAGGGATGACAATGAATCATAGCCTTTCCACTCGTCGGTATGTACAATTGATCCCGGTTTCACGAGTCGCTTTATAATAGGTACCAGAGTAGTCGCCTTCATGTCTGCTATTCCTTCAACAAATCCTTTTTGGAGGGACGTGTCGTATAAACCTATGACCCAAATATTGTTCGCTCTCTGACGACCGCGGTTATGTTTTTTCTTCACCAACACTGTCTCATCCACATGGACTACTACGTCGTCCCCGTCTAACAACGAAGTAATTCTGTCCATTCTCCATGAGGCGATGTCCCTGCAGTGCTGGTATACCAGTGGTATACCAGTGAACTGTTGAAACGAGGCTGTTATCCGTCTCGGCAGCAGCGGCTCTCACGGGCTGTTTCAGTAATTGCAAATGTACCAAATCTGGGTTAGGGAGAGATGCGACCTAGCAAAAAAGTTCCTACGAAATATTAAAATTAGCAGCTTACCCTCTCTAGTACTAACTCGCTTCCAGCGAATTCCACAACGATGTACAAAACCATCAGTTGACCTAGTATAGCTTTTTAGAGTCATTACACCGCCACACGAACAACTTCTCTCCTTTAGAAGCAAGCCTAAGTCCAGGCAATACTGAAAGACACTATTCTCCTCGAATTGCAAACGTAACCTTGTAAGGGCACGCATTGAAATGAATCAAGCGCTATACAACATTGAACTACGTTCGTGAATCTCATTGGATAATTCGACGTAGTTCGCTGATTGGTAGTTATTGGTGTCTAAATCCTAACTTGGTCAGATGCAGTAGCACTTCCAGTCTCCAAATATGAGTCATAGAGGTTGAGTGTGGGAGCGATTGATTAGATCAGTGAGAGCTATTCTTCAAGCAATATGCAGTGAGCAGAATCTAAATGATGAACCTATATTGACGTTTATGGCAGAAGTAGAACACATATTGAATGATCGACCGCTTGTACCATCAACATTGGATAGTAGAGATAATCTAGCCCTCACGGCAAATCACCTACTATTGGTCTGTCGAAACATAAGTATGGAGACTCCATCAGATACTGTCCAGGTATACAACTCCGGATGGAGGCAGGCTATGCATCTAGCAGCGTCGTTTTGGCGGAGATGGAGGCGAGAATATCTACCCTTACTTCAAACTAGACAGAAATGGATCACAAAATCTAAAAATCTATCCCTGGGGATGTGGTGATGATTGCGCCAGAATCTGCGACAGGAGACCGTTGGCCGCTAAGAGTTATTGTGGGATGCGAGCAATCCGCCGACGGACTTGTCAGAACCGTTACAATAAAAACGAGAAACGGCGAGGTGAAGCGCGATATACGTAAGATATGCCTACTAGAGGGAAGTCATTTGTAAAAGAGCCGGGCACGAGGGTTATTCTGTGTAACATGATTCATAAAATACTAGTCGGATTTTGGGGGCCGGTGTAAGATCAATTCAATTCCCATCCTTGAATCAGGTCAACCTGTCCCGGATCAGCCTAGCGTTGTTGCAACCCAATTATCCATGCCTAACGTGTCTATCCTACCTTGTTTAATGAGCTGTGTGTGTGTTTTTACTTCGATCCGTTTAGTCAGACAGTTGAACTCATGACCCAATCAGAGTATTTTCGTGAACTGTTATTTTGCTGACCCATGTCTTACTTTGTACTATTCTGTCGAGTTTATCTTATTTATTGATTGGTTAAGTAGCCAATTAAATTCTATCTTTGTGCCTATGCTCTGTCTATCTCTTACTTGGGTTCATTCTTCTACTGACTGCTTACCTGAACGGTCGTGTCTGATTCCGGCTAGTTCGCAATTTTGGCTTTAACGTTATTCCGCTCTGATAGCGGTACCTTGCTTTCTGTTAAGCGTTGCGCTTTGTACTCTTGAAACCGTTAAGGTTTGTTGTATATATAATTATTGATTTGTTTATTAATAGTACCGTAGAAACAGTGACCGGCTTCTTTTTTGTTCTGGACCGGGATAGCCTTTATCTACGCGTGACTTAAATTCAAGCGATATTGCGCTTACACTCGTGCTGTCCACCCACTCCTCAGTAAGTCGACGACGGTTGGCAACGCATGATTTTTTTCAAAGGTGAGTAAGGATTTTGTGCGTTTAGTGTCTCTTCTACATAACCTGTGAGGGTTGGTATTCAACGTCTCCTGCCGCACTATCCGTTGCAAATTGCTTCTTCGATAATCTACCCCTGAAACGAGAGTTGTATACGCTGGTTTGCAGACACAGAGAGGCGTTTTATCGCCTCTGCTTATGCTTGGTTGTTCGAGAGGTGAAGTACAAGACCCCGCACGTGTTCGCTAATATTCTGTGGTAACTGAGAACACATGCCTCCATACCTGATAGCTTCAGACTCAATCTTTTACCGGTCAAAGACGTGCTGTAGTTGTGCGGAGAATAGTTCTGGATCTTGTCAATCAAATTGCAGTGCTTTAACCGCAGCAGTTACTAAAAAATGCGACTTTGAAAAAAGTACAATATTTAGAGTTAGTATACATGTTTGGTAAATAAGATATTATAGTGAATAAACATGGAACTAAATAGTTTGTACGAGTGGAAAAATCGGGAAAATAGAAACACAAAGGTTATAGTCAACTGCATCAAAATTGAAGCCAAACTGTGAACAAAACGAGCCCATAAATTCAGAAACAGAATTTGCTATCAAAATATCTATTCAGATTACTGGCGGGCAGATGATAGTACTGTAGAATACTAATGCTGATTTTGATACTTCATTTTCCGAAAGCTTGGCAAAGGGCAGGTCAAACACACGTAAGGGCATTCATTACTCAAGAGGTAAAGACAGCCTTACAAATCATAAAGAAGATACGGTTCCTACTTGGTTACCCATAATATCCTGCTGAATTCTTAAATTACCAACTACATCTGAGTGGCCATAGTATGCTGTTATCCAGAAGCCCACTTTTGTTGTCCTCGGGTCTTGACAAGCAAACCATGGGTGGAGTGAGCTATAACGGTAATTCGCTAAAATAATTAGCCAACATCAATCTCCATTCAAAATGAATGCCGCCCTTCACTGTTCAAAAACACTGGTCAAGCTGACAGAATTAAAATGTATCTAAACTGACGGCTTCTTTCAGTTTATCGAGTGATTCTGTTGCTCATGCAGTCATGTGCAGCATTTTCTCACGGCTTTTCAATAAATCTGTCAGTGGTCGTGATAATTGTGCATGAGGAAGAATGAGACGGCGATACATGCTGACTAAACCGAAAAATCTGCGTAGCTTTCTAATTGAATTTCGAATAGACTGCTCATCCTTGACAGATTCTAATTCTGTTGACACTGGTTCACCTTCATGTGGATTGACTACGTGTCCTGAAACTGAAAGGATTCTTGAAGTATGCATATTATACTGGGATGGAGACGTTCGGTAGGTCTTGTTGGGACTACACTCACTACCTTCCATACAAGCACTGTTGATTTCTCAACAGACTGTGGTGCATTGGCTAATCTCGTCATTCATATTTAGCCGGATATAGTGTTCGATTGAAAATTCTACTGTTGGTTGAATGGTAGGATGAGAAATTTTATGTATTTCGGCGAACACTGATCGTCTTATCTCTAGTAGCACGAAGAAGTGAGGTTTTCCCGTGAATAAGTCGCTGGTAACAGGCAGAGAGCCATCTGGGTCAGCTATTTAAAAGTGCAGAGCAGTGTTCAGCTGAGGTTTTAGGCTTTTTAATTCCTCGTTTACTCCTTGCAATTTCGACATCTTTCGAATGTTAGTGTGATCTCTCTCAAAAGTTTACAGGTGGATAGATGACAAGACATATGCTGGGTTATTGCTTTTACCTGGGTTTAATATGTTCCTTATAGCTTTCTTCGGTGTGGTATCAAGCTGTAATCAAAATAAAAAATAAAATAAATACTCAATGCTCACCGTATTGCTATTGCCATTATCGAGTCCGTTTGTCTAGGTTTTGTGTTCAAGGTAGCATGATCTCAGTCAGTTTGTTAATGGATTCAATATATTTGAATCTCAGACGTTGTTCACACATCATGGTATTGTGGGATAGATGTCTAAAATATGCAAAAGAAACTAATAAAAATGTGGCGAACTCACTGTTTTTTCAGTGGTTTACAGGATACCGAGTTGAAAGCTGTAGGGTAATTACAAGCAAACTGCAATAGGATTACTCATGTATGTAATCCCAAACCACAAATTGAACTCAGTTATCTGGTTGGGATATGAGGCAGGTATGATGGATAAAATGACAACCACTGTAGTGTTTAAAATGCGAAACATATTTCTAGAGCAGTTGTGTTGACATGACACCAGCTATTGAAAGCCTTTGGGAAAATGGTAGCCCCTTGTGTATTCCTTCTATTGAAGAAAAATTTAGCAGTGGAACACGTAACAACCACACCATGTTCGAGGCTAAAAAGAATGCCCAGATTTTTGAATAAATTAGAAGATATTATGTATTTATATCCAAATATGAGGATAATTTACTAAGACCAGTCTCTCTCGATATGAAGCAACGGATCACAGCAATAAAACATTTATTTTCTGCTATTATTCTGCGTAAATGTATACAGTACTTTAGAAAATCTTCACAGTTCTACTGATCTAAACGACAAGCACCTTAGCTACTAGACATTGAACACTCAAATTGAAGCGCCGGCGCGAATCCTGTTTTTGTACATACGGAAGCGGTGCATTGTGTCGCATGTTACTTGAGGATGGGTGAAAACAAGAGATCGTCAGCTTGTCCGACTAATGCAGAACTTCTACGTGCTGACAAGGAGCCTTTGCGAGAAGCCGACTTATCGTCGAAAGATATGGTCTGGGTTCCTCATGAAAGAGAAGGCTTCGTTGCAGCCGTTAAAATTCAAGAACAAGGAGATAACTGTATAGTACAACTTGTAGAGTCTGGGAAAAAGTGTACTTTTCCAAAAGATAATATACAAAAAATGAATCCTGCGAAGTATGACAAGATCAAAGATATGGCAAACCTATCGTTTATGAACGAAGCCTCTGTCCTTCACAATCTTAAGTCAAGATACTACTCAGGAATGATATATGTAAGTCGAAATAATACTGTTATATGCTATACAGACGTACTCCGGCCTATTCTGTGTGGTTGTCAATCCATATAAACGGCTACCTATATACGATGAAGAAATTGTGGAGTGGTACAAAGGGAGAAAGCGCCACGAGAGACCACCTCATATATTTGCTATCGCTGATGCAGCCTATCGTAGCATGCTTCAAGGTAACTAGTTTTCCGGTTAAGTTTATGCATTACAGATCGTGAGGACCAGTCGATTTTGTGCACGTAAGTGTATTTTCCACACTAACCGCATACTTTAGCGGTGAATCTGGATCCGGAAAAACTGAAAATACGAAAAAGGTTATACAGTACTTGGCGTCTGTGGCCACTTCTGCAAAGCACCAGAAGACTTCGGCTAAAAACGTGATTTCAAAAATGAACGTAAGTGTTTTTGTAAGCCTGTCAAGTGCAGGTACTACGTTTTATCTCATTTTGGTCCTTTGGTGTATACCAGCACTAAGATTAGCTGTCACCTAATTTGTAGTCATGTAACTGCGTATTCATTGCAGTACTTTCACAAAGTCTTAGCAAAAGTTGCAAAACTACTCCACGTCTATTAGTCTATGCAATTGAACCATTCATACTTGTGATGTTTAAGTAACTTTAGTGTGCTTCTATTTGTACGCTATTATGCCTATGTTTTATCAATAGTTCTAATTGATTCCATGCTATGTACAAAGTGATTACTATTACTAGTATTACATAGTTATGGGTTATTTATATGCAGTCTTAAGCCTTATGACAAATTCCATAATATATCGGGAATTCCAGTGTTTTCTGCACTTATTTCTTTAAGTAAAGCATGCGGTCCTAAATGTAATCCTGAAGGAGCGTTTGGAAGACTAATGGTTTTTTAAGTGAACCAGTTTTACCCCATACTGGTAAGTGATCAGACAAAAAATGTCTTCTGTTTATAGTTCACCATGGTGAATACAACATACATCTTATCAAGTTAAGATGGTTTCTGTTGCATCCGTACGATTCCCCACACAGCATAATTAAAATAATCAGTCAATAGATTAAGTGAGTTGAATTGTGCACCGTAGGGAGGAACGTAGGTGATGTGTAGTTTTCGAAAGACGACAGGCGATTAGTACAACTTAACTTTCCAATCGTCATGTTAACTGCAGTTGCGTTTTTATTTCTTCCTGTTAATTGGTGAACGAGAGGTAAAACACCACTAAAGTGCATCAGCACAACTCTTTACGTTTCTCTTCGTTGTATGCGTTTGTTTTCGGATCTTGAACCGTGACCTGAAGTCGATTTCATTGTTTATAACACTTGTTCGCCTGCTCGCTCATTAGTTTTTATACTGAATGTTTTGTGCCGAATCTGTTGACAAGTTCCCACCAGTAACGATGTACAGTCGGATATGATGTTCGTTTTTCGAAACAACTGGTGTATTTTTGAACTGGTTTTTGATTGCTTCAATTTTCAGGCCAGAGATGTCAATATTGTAAGTTAATTGTTGTTGGGTACCCACAATGAGCTGTTTAAATGATTTTTTTTGCTTGTGACTATACCTGCTAGCCATATTTCTGTAACATCGTGTATATTTGTCCATCACAATATATTCACTGGTCATTCATTTAAATTCTTGTGTATCTGTTAATTTCTAATATAATTCACCTATAGTGCAGCTTTTGGTGTCCAATCAATATTCTCACATTTTAGCTGTCACTACATAGATCCAATTTCTGAAGTTATTTTCCGTTTTCATTTTACAGGGCGAACTTGAAGCACAACTTTTGAAAGCTAATCCTATCCTGGAAGCCTTTGGGAACGCGAAAACAATAAAAAATGACAATTCTTCACGTTTTGTAAGTAATTTACCGTTTTCTGATTTTCTTAATTCGGTAGATGAATTACTGGTAGATTGTATTCACCGTAGAATCGCTAGTCCGCCTATCTCGAGCTGACTAATTTTCTCCGGTTTGGTTGTCTAGTCAGTGTATCACCTCTAACACGAATTATCAGACAAGTTGACCAGCAATCTGATTTCCAGGATTTTCTTGCTTATTTATTGTTCTTGGTCACTCTCACTTTCTATGAATATTGAACTTCTGTTTTACGTACGAGTCTCCAATTCTGATTGTGTAGATTGTTCAGTAGTTGGGAGTTACACAATAGAATGCTAATTGCCACAGGGAAATCTGCAAATGACTTGCCTTTGTCCATTATAATAAAGGTTTTTGTATTTCCCAATGAATGAAAAACAAAACGATATTGTTTTTACTGACGTTTCGCTATTTAATGCTAATAGCTTTATCAAAGTATTATACTTGCCTTTGTGTTCAAATTTTGAATTTCATTGATAACCTAGTTCAGTGATAGTTGTAAAAACCTCTGACCGTGACTAACGATTGAAATTAAACGGGCACTTTAGCTGTCTTCATTGTGGATTTTTTTCACGGTATCCAGTATCATTGGAATCTAAGGAAAAACAAGCACTAAGAATGTCATTTAGGATCCCTGGTAGTTCAGTATGTTTTCTGTATAAGGTATCTGTTGAAACTTAATCAGCAGCACCTAACAGAACATTATATAATAAAGACCGTAATATTTAAATTTGAACTAACATTTTCAGTGTTTTATGGTAATTAGTCTTAATTTAGTTTACTAATGTATTGTTATATTACCACTGCTTGTTTCTGAGCATTAATCACTTATTATTTCTTTTAGGGCAAATTCATACGCATAAACTTCGATACCTCCGGATTCATTGCTGGGGCTAATATTGAAACATGTATCCTTTTCATGAATGTTTTAGTGTACAGCGTACTTTCCAGTTAGCCAACTAAAATGAGCTGTTGAATGGTTTCTTTTTGTACGTCTGTGAAAGCCTTTTTGTCTAACTAGTGAAAATGAAAATCATACAAGAGTGAGTGATTCACTAAGAACTATTATTTTCTTTAGGGCATTGGGAATCACTTTCCTTTATCTAGCATACAGTTCATATTTTCGCATGAATAATATCGAGTTCATAACCAACGTAAATATTCATGTTTTCAAGTTTACTTAGTCCATAAAGCGTAAATTCCTTATCGCTTTGAAGATCTTTTAGAGAAAGCTCGTGTTATTCGTCAAGCGCCAGATGAACGTAGTTTCCACATATTTTATCAACTTCTGGCCTCAGCTAACCCAACTATGCAACAACAACTACTATTAAACAATGCTAGTTCATACCGCTTCCTTTCAAATGGCATGATTGAACTACCAGGGATTGATGAACAGCAATTTTTCCGGGAGACAACTGAAGCTATGGATATAATGGGCATTAATAGTGAAGATCAAAATGGTGAGCTTATTAGCTACTTATCTTTATTGTAGTATTTCTTCGAGTAGTATAAATACTTTGTTTAGCTATCCACATTATTGACTGTAATATTTTTCATTTACCATTCCAGCTATATTCCGTGTAATATCAGCTGTACTTCATTTGGGGAACTTTGAGTTCCGTCAAGAGAGAAATTCTGACCAAGCAACTTTACCAGACCACTCAGGTTAGTAACTTACTTGCCACTGTGAGATTATATACATCCATGTGCTGCTCTGTATGCTGTCGTATTACTACATATTACACTAGTTTTAGTCAAGATTGTCAATTCCCCGAGTTTTATTCTGTGGAAAATAATGAATACTTCATCTTTTTTCAGTTGCTGAAAAGGTATCTCATCTTCTGGGTATTCCTTTAAATGAAATGACCAAAGCATTTCTTAAACCCCGCATCAAAGTTGGCAAAGATTTGGTATCAAAAGCACAGACGAAGACCCAGGTTGAATTCGCTGTCGAGGCAATTTCAAAATCTATATACGAAAAACTATTCCTTTGGCTAGTCGCGAGAATAAATAAAACATTGGATAAAACTAGGCGACCAGGCGCATCGTTTGTTGGAATTCTTGACATTGCAGGTTTTGAAATTTTTCAAGTAAGTTGTATTGCGAATCCAAATCGGGTCTGTTTTTCCTCTTTTTTGGCAAAATAGTCACTGTTTTGGAACGTTAAGATTTTACAGATCGTCTGGTTCACACAATTTATCTGAATAAATTAACGTGTACCTTAGCAATAATATTTTAATCTAGTTTTCTCTACAACGCAATAATCATTCATTGATAATGCGTTATAGGGATAGTTGCTTAATAAATATAAAGTTAAAAAAGTGGCTCTTAGGATAGAAAACTTACGGAAGGTATAGACACTCATTGTTTTCTCAGTACTGAAAAATTTCTGCATTTGTGCTATGACAACAAATATCGTATCTCTGATTTCTTATGCACTAAGCGTTTCAAATAAAAAGTCCACATCTTTCCCTTCAACTTAGCTGTTTGGTGTAATCTGCTACACTGTTTAGTGTATGGTTTTGTTGTCTGAACCGGGAAGCTGTATATATCCAACCAGTATCACTTCGCTGTAATGTAGTGAAAGACACTTCAGACCGAATTTCAGATCTCCAAATATAACATGGAGATGCTTATACCATTCCCTTTCAAAACGTAAACTTAATAAAGATAACACTCCTTTTATAACTAATATTTTAGGCCGTGAAACAAATTCATTGGGACAATTTATGATACTACTCAGTTTTTCAGACTTATTTTTTGAACCTGTGGTCCCTTGATTGAAAATTAACTGCGTATATCAATAAAGTACATCTCCAATATAGTACTGAAAGTAGTTCGGTATTCATAGCAATAACAGTTAGCTGTAGTTAACCTCATGGCTTAAGTGTTTCATTGTGAAAACCAACTTAATTAATGTAACTGGTTTATTTTTTTGCAGGTGAATTCGTTTGAGCAACTGTGTATTAATTATACAAATGAGAAACTTCAGCAACTTTTTAATCACACTATGTTCATATTGGAACAAGATGAGTACACACGCGAAGGTATTCCGTGGGAATTCATAGACTTTGGACTTGATTTACAACCCACAATTGATTTGATTGAACGTGTAAGTAAATTATTCTATTGGGAATCAGTGATGGTCATTCTTTACTACCTTTGTTTCATTATATGTTTATTTCGTTTGTAATGTAAGTTTCTGTGCATTTATTTTTACATGCTGTGATATGAATATAAGTGCCGATTCCCACATACCTACCTGGAAAGAAGGCAAAAGCGTATTGCCTTTGGCAAGTTATTCTTCACTTTGTAGATTACTTTGGAGGAGGCGTTTGTTGAGATGGAATGACCAGTGATGACAAGGTGTTCCACTATCGCACTCCTTATAGAGCCACTACTACCTTTCTTCAACTATGTGGGATAGTGTTCTTGAACCCTTTTAGACAGGACTTTTGATTATAGCTTGAAACCACACAATATTTTTGGTACAAGTATGGAATTTTCAGCATGTGATACCGGTAGCCCCAATTTTGCAGGCCGACCATAGATATCAGGTGTGAGTCGACGAGGGGTGGAACCCCGGACCATGTGCATGATCGTCGAGAGTCCTAACCGCTGTGCCACCGACGCACGCGTCGAACGATTAATATACCTGGCTCCACAGAAACAGATGAACTGATATACACACGTAAAAGTGATCAGGTGCGAGATCTTTTCCTAAAGGTTTCTTCGAACCAATGGGCGACTGGAGAGCACTACTTTCAGCGTCATTGTAAAAAAAGTTCTTAAAGAAGCCAAAACTCTCCTTATAACGACATCATTGTGGGTCAACTTTTAAGTCGACGTTCATGTAAAGTTTCCCCTTCTACGAAACAACAGTACTACAAGTCAATTCTTTCAGGTGTTCCACCATCGATTTTTGTGAATGATGTATGTTTTGCACAACTGTTACAGTATAAAGCTTAGATTTAATTTACCTTTGAATATATCTGTGTTCCAATTTTACTTCTTTGGTTTCTGTCTTAATTCACTGTACATATGGTTTTCTCTCACCCCATGATATACACCACCTTCAATAATGAAAAAGTTACTCCGTTCATTTACTCTCATTCCTATAATCACGGTATGAAAAATAAACAATGTAATTGTATGTACTGAATTTATTTCTCAGTGTTTAACTCATCATTACTGTTGTATGTATTATTGGGTGTTCGCTATTGTTTTACCGAATATAGGCATATTATCGATTTTGTGTTTGATGTTAGAAATAGCAGTAGTAGTTACAGATGACTACTGAATCATGCAAGTCTGAAAGCTACGGAGTACGTATGCTGCTATTACAGATATTAACAATCGACTGCATCTTTGTTCCTTTAATTCCATTTCGTTTCTTTTAAAAAAATTTACCACCTAATTCTGAATTCTGCAATGCATTTGTCGATCTTCACATTTTCCTTTCGGCCGAGTGAGTCGTTTCTTGGAAATAAGAGGATAGCATTTCCACACACACACACACAAAGAGTATGCATTGCAGGACTTTGAAGTTTTTCTGAAGTAACTCGGAAATTTTTCAGTCATCAGACAAACTACATTGTTATGTGTGAAAATTTATCGTTCACCCATTACTTGTTTCTGGAATACTCGTCGATGGTATATTGTGTTACAAACCAGTTGCCGTCTTCATTCAACCGGCACTAAACGTAGAATCCTAGCGTCGTCGTTTCCACATGGTTCACAGTGTTTTTTTTCAGATTCTTAGTGTAGAAAAAAGCCGAATCTAGTTCCACCTTTCATATCCCGACAGTCAATTCAGTGAATACAGGTTGGATCATGTTTTATTGTAAGGGCCTGCGATACCGCATAAATTTCCATATTTAGTCAGGTGAAATAAATTTGTTTGTTATTGAGCTATCAAAACTAGCGATGCTGCTTAAGTTTACAATGCGACAAATCTAGTAATTAATGCGTCCCCAAGTTTTCTATAGCAGAAGGGGAGGTATAATTCACCTTCCCATGGCTTAAATTGGTAATTAAACGTTGCTAAATGACACTTTTTGAAACCTAGACAAATTTTCCTCTTCAACCTTTCAGTACTGTTTATCATTTCCCCCTGGCTGTATGTCATGTCAATGCAATTTCGACTACAATTGAGTCAACAAATTAAAGTGGTTTTTCTGAAAATGATTAATATGGTTAGAAAAGTGAAGATGAAAATGCATATGTATAACAATCGGCAATATTTTTACTTTCTTTGATTAGCCTATGGGTATCTTCGCTTTATTGGATGAAGAATGCTTCTTCCCCAAGGCAACTGACAAGTCATTTGTCGAAAAACTTATCAAATCTCAGGATAAGCATCCTAAGCTGTGTAAAACAGAATTTCGTTCCAATGCTGATTTTGGCGTTATACACTATGCTGGTCGAGTGGATTATAATTCAAACCAGTGGTTAATGAAAAACATGGATCCGCTTAATGATAATGTTGTCGCCTTGCTTCAAGCATCAAATGATCCTTTCGTTCAGGTTAGTTTGTGATGATCCAATCTATATTTTACGACATCTCGTTGCATTTAACCTTGAATTTATTCAAAGTGTGCATTAACAGTTTGGTGAATAATTCATCTGATCTACAAACAAAATTCCGTATCTTTTCACATACAGTAATTTTTTTCAAATTTGACTTCAGTCTCATTTTTCTGTGATGTTTTAAGGCGTCACAACTTGGATATACGCACTTCAAGACTAAACTAGACTGAATATTTACCATAGAACTTTGCCCAAATGCGCAAATTCAAGTAGTCACACATCTTAGTAGTATACAAAGGGGGAGAAAAAACATAGTATCTATAGTAAACGAGAATGTACAGAGAAAGAATCATGAGAATCCAATGGATCTGAGAGTCCATGAAGAGTGAATGCATCTGCGCCATTGTCACCACTGATTCCTGGTATCATAGGGATCCAAGCCAGGCAATCCGAATTCCCACTGTGTGATTCAGAAGAGCAACCGAAGACTCCCTTAACTGATGTCATATTTTGATTTAATCACTTCTATAGACGGACCATCTAATCCCGTGTGGTTGGCATTTCTCATGTGTAAACACACGTCACAATCGATGCGGCTTGAAAAGTCCATCAGTTTACTTCCCAGTCTAACTCCGTACTTTACGCCTAACCTCACTATTATTAGCCATTTTACACTGCCTAGCACGAGAGATAGAATGCAAAAACCTATGATCAGAGATGGCTAACCTTATCCCATCTTCCATCTTTACCTACTACGTCTCAACTGTTTGGGAGAACGGAGCGTACTTCTGCGCAGCATATATGTCATTTGATCTATAGGTGGATATCACGTTCACTTCAAATATGACACAACGGCAAGTACCAGACGAGCCATTTGTATCCGAACTGAAACTTCGTCAGCAGTATTTCCATTTAGTCTGATGCAACTTCTCCATTTAATTCCCTACCTCGAAACGACCGAATCGTCTTCATACGCTAAATCAATAAGACTTCCGAAGTTCTCTGTCATATCCATTATTGCATCCATGATAAAATGAGACAAAAAATGGAGACACTGAACGGTCCTGACAAGAATCATTGGTTTTGTCACAAAAGACTGAACAGCCTAAGTTCAGCATTTTTCTCTCCATGTTTTCCTGTTACAGTCACACTCAGTAAAGTTGAACTTTGTTAACGTCTGACTTCGAATTTTTTTCACAGGCTATGTGGAAAGATGCAGAAATTGTAAGCATGTCTGCCACGACGACGAACGACACTGCTTTCGGTTCTGCCCGTGGCGTCAGAAGAGGAATGTTTCGCACTGTAAGTCAATTGTACAAGGATTCACTCATACGCCTAATGACTGTGTTAAAAAATACATCGCCCAACTTCGTTCGTTGTATTATTCCAAATCATGAGAAAAAGCCTGGTCGAATTGATGGTCCATTAGTCCTAGAGCAGCTCAGATGCAATGGAGTATTGGAGGGAATCAGAATTTGTCGCCGAGGTTTTCCATCACGTATCCTCTTCCAAGAGTTTAGACAGAGATACGAAATTTTGACTCCTAACGTTATTCCGAAGGTAAGTGATATTTCATTTGAGTGTCACATTGTTTCGTCATTTTTGATGAATTTAATATTGATTATAGCTGAAACAGATTTACACGACCATTTCATTAACTTACCCAACTTCCTGCTCCCTGCAGACTATTAGTTTTAAACAATTCTTAATAAGTAATTCGTGCAAAAATGTGCCTGGTATAGGGTGATAAAGTCTAGGAGGGATTTAAATCTTCCGTTAGCCTTGTAATAGTAATCAACATCCCATCTATGTACTAAAGGTGTCCTGGAGGTCTGATTCTTTTTGACAGCGAATTCACACTTCCAAGCACACACTTTAGTCGATTTCAAAGCTGTGAGGAAAATTTACTCAACTTCCAGTGTGTAATTGTGCTGCTGCATAAAGGGTAATAGTCATACTAAGTTCTTATGCTGTCTTAACACTAGTTTTTTTTTAAATGTTGGTCACAAGTCACTGTATAATAAACGGATAAATTAATCTGAAATACTGTGAAATTTGTAACAATGCTTAACTTTTGTCCAATTCCTCATTGCTTCAAGATTCATACATTCATGTCAGTATTTAAAAGGTAAGGGTTTAATCTTTCGCGCATTATATTGGTCAAACGGGTAAAAATGTTTTGTTATTTAAGAAAATCGTTATGGTGAACTAGTTTGTAAGCTAAATCATGTATCATTTCCATTTAGGGCTTTATGGATGGTCGCAAAGCTGTTATTGAAATGTTGAAGGCTCTTGATTTAAGCCCTGAAGTTTATTGTATTGGCCATAGTAAGATATTTTTCAAAGTTGGTGTTCTTGCTCAATTGGAAGAGGATCGTGACATACACCTAACGAATACTATCATTAAGTTCCAGGCATATGCTCGTGGCTATCTAGCTCGACGGTAAGTTACTACGATTTTTATTCCCTTCATTTTTCTATAGAGTTAATGAATACATATGTGGAATAGGATATATATAGTCACCTTAAAATCATGTTACTTTTAGTGAACAGAAAGTTCTCATGTTTTTCGTGCAACAATACGGATGTGTAAATCAGTGAACTAAGCATTAGTTTTATGACTGTTAAATAGACTGTCCGAATTCATTCTACATACATTTGAGTATTCCAATGGCCTTTAACATAGCCAAATATTGGAGTATTTGTTGTCTCTAGTGGGTTAGTAAGCTCCTCCTAGTATTTGTGTCCTTATAACTTAATTTCATTCAGCATCTCTTTTCCCAAAATCTTTTTCTTTTTTTCTCCAGTGCAAAAGAACAACGTTTACAGAATATTCAGGTCTGCAAAATAATCCAAAGAAATTGTGATGCCTACCTCAAACTGAGGAACTGGGCCTGGTGGCGTTTATTCACAAAAGTTAGACCACTTCTCACTGTGACACGTCAAGAGGACCTAGTTGCTGTGAAGGAAGAAGAGCTTAGAAAAGTTAGTTAGAAAACCAATTCATATAACTGTACTTTCAATACGTATATTGTAAGGTTAACCACATAGTGGGAATCAAAATAGAACTTATTACCGTATTACTATGTCAGACTCGTCAAACTTTTATCCTGAAAGGAATCACTATTTCATATTCGAAGTTACGCATATAACGAATGAACCCCTCTGCGTGAGGGGTAATCTCATCAATATGCATTGGAGCGATTGCGAAACGTATACTCCGTTTTGAGAGATTTGAATATAAAATTATCACTTCGTCAACTTAAATTAACGGAAATGAGAGAAAATATGGTGTTTTACATAATCTTGTAGGTCTGTTGTGCACATTCATTAAAGCCTTGTGTAAATATATTAGCAGAAGTTGCAAATAATAAGCGTAGTATACATCTGTGTTTGTTTTTTTCGATTCTAACTTGCTTTGTTTCCAGTTACATGAACAAAATTTACTAAATTATATTTCGAATGTCCCTATCTTTTCTTCTTCATTAAGATTCGAGAACAAATGGAAAAAGTTGTGAATGATCTAAGTGAAATGCAAAGAGCGTATGAAAAAATGAGTAATGAGAAGGCTCAGTTGAATGCTGAACTACAACAAGAGCATGATTCTAACCAAAACTTGCAAGTGGTAAGCTCGTATTTATTTATTTATTTGTGTGTGTGTGTGTTTATATCAAGACAAGTTGAATTGCTTACGCCTCACATTGTTATTCATTAACTGATACCATTTACGAAAGTATTGATTGAGTGCAGTTGCTTAAATCTCTGGTGTTTACTATTCTGTGTTATAGGAACGTGATCGTCTACGAGAAAAATTACAGTCTTTAGAAGAAGATTATCTAGAGCTAGAGAATAAAGACAATGAAGAGAAGTCGAGGCTACAATTTCTGGAATCTGAACAAAAGCGCCTTTCAGAACAAGTAAGTTCTAAAACTCTATATTATCATCCCAGAATTCGTGTTAATGCGTTCATACTTCTTGACGTGATGTGCCTACCACTTATTCTCATATTTTTTTTGGAGGGGGGTGGGGTGTTGAATATAGACTGTGATGATTGTTCCAGTGTATTGTTTTCAGTCATATGGTGTATATCCTTTTTATGTTGAATGGAATGTTATCTAAGTTATTTTCAGTTTTTATAGTTTATCTTACATTATTTTCAATAGCTTGTGATTTTATTGTCATTGCAATTTGTAAATGATCTCAGGGGTTTCGGTGTTTATCGCATATCTTACTTAAGTTTGCTGTCCCCAAGTTAACTTAGTGGATAATTACACCCAGTAGATTATCATTTTCACAAGTTATCAAAACTGTTCATTTGTTGTTATTGCCACACTAACTAACTATGCTTATTGGTTGACACATGTGAATGTTAGTCAGCAACCGTATATATTCCACCCCCCCCTAACTCCCATCATAATAAGCAGTTTCTTATGTAATAATTAATGGCCACTTCGTTGCTCCCTTAACTGAATTAGGTGGAAGATGATTAAAAGTAGTCACCGACTGACTGAACGCTGATTATGCCCAAATCTGTTAGCTACAACAACTATAAAATTACCAACCTATGACTAGTGTTCGATCATAGAAAAAATGACGAAGGTCAATATTCCGAAATGATTATTTCTATAACGGATTTTCACTGCTTACCTTTCTTTTCATTTATTCATTCTTACTGTTTAGATAACGGACTTAACAGATCAATTAGAACTTGAGGAACAGCAACGTCAAAAGTTGCAGGTTGAAAAGACTTCTATTGAACAAAAGATTTCTCAACTTAACGATAGCTATCTTAGCATTGAAGATAAATATAATAAACTTTTAAAAGACAAAAAGCAGTGGACTGACAGAATCGAACTTTTAAGCAGTCAGTTAGCAGAAGAAGAGGAGCGTACTAAACAACTAACCAAACTTAAAAGTAAACACGAAAGTGGTCTTACTGAACTTCAGGATAAACTTGCCCGTGAACAGAAATCTCGTCAAGATATTGAGATGGCCAAACGAAGATTGGAAACAGAAGCTTCTGAACGTTCTGACCAAGCGTCGGAAAGTTTACGGCTTGTTGATGAACTTCGAGCAACAGTTGCTAAATTAGAGGCAGAAGTTGCTCAGCTACAGAGCCGACTCGATGAAGAGATCGTTGCCAAGACTATGCTACAGAAAAGAGTACGAGAATGTGAATCGCTAATTCAAGAGCTCAATGAAGACTTGGAAACCGAAAGAAAAGCACGTGACAAGGCGGATGAGGCTAAAAGAGACCTTACCGAAGAAGTGGAGGCTATGCGGTTAGAGCTCATTGATAGTGGAACAAACAGTGAGGCACAAACACAAGCTCTGCGGAAGTATGAAGCTGATTTATCTAGTCTTCGTCACCAACTTGAAGCTCAGTCCAAGTAAGATACATGTTTCAGAATTATTCGCTATATGTTTTGCTTGCTGGTTTCATTGCATTCCATCAAAGTTTAGGCAGCTATGTAGTACTAGTTTTTACTCTACGCATGATTTTCTACCTAGTGGTTTGCAAATTACATCCTTTCCATCCATACACTACACATAAAGAAGCTCTTATAGTGTCCTACGTATGTGCAAATCCGATAAAGAAATTATGATATACTACTGTTGTTTAGACAAACGGAAGGTCTTAACCTTGTCGGTCATAGGTACCAAAGAAATTATTCTTGCTGTCAGAGTTTTTTGTTTTACGATATGCTAATCAGCATCGTACGTCGTTGGTTCACCGGTAGAACGCTCGCCAAGCACGTGCGTAGTTCGCGGTTCGATCCTCGGCCGACGCACTCCTAACCTCGCTAGGCCAGTGAAGAGGCAAGGTTTGGCGTGAGACTAGCAACCTAAACCCGTAAAAATTAAATCACTGCTACCGAATCTTCGAAGTTCAATCTTGAAACCCTATGTCCCACTCGGTACGTTGAAGAATAAAAAATCAGTATTGCAATTGCTTCTAGTTCACAATTATCAAAGTTGGTCGATATAGACATTAAATCAAATAGAGTGAGTCATTCGGGAAACTGACGTGGATTACATATACGTCCAGTTATCAATGATGTATAATGGGATAGAGTTACCTCATCTATTTGTGAAGTTCTATTAATTTGTGTTGGGAAGTGTTTATTAATAGGGTTATTCGAACTTAAAGTATCACTAGCTGAAGGCGTTGTTTACTTTTAAAAATTAACTTTGCCTTCAACATTCTGAACATTATTTTTTTGCTATGTTTGTCGTTGATGGTCACAGTCTCATTAAATTTAAGTAATACATCTTTGATTTCAAACGTATACGTCTTATTGTTGCTATTTAACTATACCGTTTCTTTTTAAAATACTTTATACAGTGCTCATGAAGCTGCAATTCAGGAAACGCGTAAATCACATGCCGTAGCTTTAGAAACACTAAATGAACAGATCGAACAACTGAAAAAGAGTAAAACATCATTGGAAAGATCTAAACTTCAGCAGGATTCAGCAACTGAAGAACTACAGAAACAAATTCAAAGCCTTAGATCAGACAAGTTAGTCTATTTTGTTATATCATTAGGAAACTTTCTTCTTTCGACCTGTTTCCTTCTAACTGCTATATTTAGTTTCATTTATATCTTTATTTATCTTTGGGATAACTGTGTATCTTTTATCATTTGAAGCTATTGAATATTTGATGTGTAGAGTTATGTCTCTGTACTACCGTGCGTTAGATTTCTGTTAGCGTATCTTGTATCGAATGCTGAATCAATATGGTAGACATTTCCTTCCCCTGCTTTTATTTGCTCTTTTTTTGAATGTTTAGGGCAGAGATGGACAAACGTCGACGTCAGGGTGAACAGCAGCTGAATGAAAGTTTGGTTAAAATCCAAGAATTAGAAATGCAACGTGGTGATTTAGAATCCAGACTGAACAAGGCATTGAATGAAATTGAAGGCTTAAATAATGCCATGGAAGAAATAGAAACAAAACTAGGCAAAGTTGCACGTTCTGAAGCGTCTGCTCAAGCTGAACTAAGCCATCTTCGTGCACGGCTAGATGAAGAAACTCAGGCAAAAATAAGTCTACAGTCACAGTTGCGTCAAGTAGAAGATGAACGAGAATCAGTGAAAGATTTATTCGACGCTGAAGAGCAAGCCAAAGTTGCTTTGGAAAAGCATGTTCTAACCTTGACGACACAGGTCATTACAATTTTACTCATTTATCTTTTGTATTGTTTTTTATGAATGTGGAAGGAGAGTTTGCAAAGTACAACTTTAAGCCATTATGATAAACTGCACCCAAAGATTAAATGCCATTTCTTTGTGATCTCCGTGTGAGACACTTTCTGCTCAATTTCTGGCTCATCTAATTCTCACTTGAGCAATCTACCAGATTTTAACTTCAGGCTATACTAAAATTATCTAAAGTACTAAATTTCTTAGCTGTTTACAATTTATGTCATTAATGACATGTAAATACAGTTCATAGGTTAGATTATCTTAACTAAACTTCGATTGACGGACCAATCTTAATGTGATATGTGGTAATAAAATTGAACATGACATACGAGTCGCAACCGGATTGGAACTAATAAATTAAGACTAAGAGCTGTCCAGTTAGTGCATCTTGTACAGTTTCCTAGGCCCTTTGCCGACGACTAGGCAGAGACTGCCTATTTAGATTTCTAACTTGATTCAGGTTTACACCTGCATCTGTTAGACTTACCGTTGTTTCTATTTGTTTAAAAAAACTTTGTTTTCTTAGGTTTTAATATAGGCGGCTCGTTTCGGCCTCCTGTGGCCTGGATTTTTATAGCTCGTTATTAATAATATGCAAAAGTATTTTATGCCGAAACAAGTATTTGTCTTGGTCAGATGCGCAGTCCTCCCTTCCAGGTGCCGCTATCTTCCACCTGTTCTAAGTGCTGATATTTGAATAACAGCAAAACCTGGTATATTTACTTTTTATCTTTATAGAATATCAGAAATATGCGGTTATTTATAATACCAATTACTTGATAGTACAGTAACTTGAATACCACAATCAAGAAAAAGATTTTATTTCCCTTGAAACAGTTGGTGAAAAATTGTGAATTTAAACTTATCTTCGGCATACAGACAATGTTTTCATTTATTCTTTTTTTTTAACGATGACTACATTTACCGTATTTCTCTCACTGCGACGATCGCAATACTCAATGAATTCCACCCATTCGAAGAACCTATTTAATATTTACTTATTTCCCTTCTGATTATTTCCTATACCCAACACAGATGCAAGATGCTAAGAAGAAAGTTGAAGAGGATACACTTCAGCTAGAATCACTTGAAGATGCACGTAAAAAGCTTCAGCGAGAATTGGATGATACACGCAATCGTAATGAAGAACTTGTCTCACAAGTTGAAAAGTTGGAGAAATCACGCAAGAAATTACTAAGTGAAGTAAGTAGTATTAGTTGTTTCAACTCTTAAATTGCACTTTTTTTCTCACTGGTCAAATGAGATTCTTTTCTTCACTTACACGTTTGAATAGGTAATGACATAATTTCAGCATTTACATTTTTATTAAAAAAACCATCTTGGTCATCGACTCATAAAGTGTCTATGGATATTCGAAATATGTTACCTTAATAATATTTCCTATGACACAAATTGCGGATTATCATAAAGGCTGAAGGTAAGAGAGGATTTACTCAATCAACCAATAAACTCTAGTTTACTGGTTTAGACATGTTGTTTCAAATTTATTTGAGATTTAATCATAACGAAATCTCAGTTGGCGCTCATCTTTTGTGAAGTTTTATTAAATAGCACCTTTCTTATTATTCCTACTCCAGTTAAAAATGATGTTTTTGTTCACGATGCTTATGTCAACTTTGTATGTTGTTGTTTTTTCCAGGTCGAAGATATGAATCATGTGATGGCCAGTCAACGATCTGATCAAGCTAACAATGAACGCCGAATTAAGAAGTTAGAGTTGACACATGCAGAAACAGTTAATCAACTAAACAGTTTCCAAACACAAAAAGAAGCATTCTATCAAGAGATGCTTGAGAAAGACACCAAACTGTTTACGCAAAAGAATGAAATTGAGAAACTTAAAGAGCAACTGGAAGAAGCAGAGCGTCAGCGTTCAATGCTGGCAAGAGAATTAGAGGAACTTGGTTCTCATGGAGATGATGCAGGAAAAAGTTTAGTGGGATTAGAACAGACTAATTATCGTTTGAACGAACGACTGAAGGAAGCACAACAGCAAATAGAAGAATTAGAAGATGAAATCTCCACTTTTACCATGGAAAAGCAACGAGCAGAGGTAAGCATTGTAAAAAATAAATTTGTTTTATCATTAAAAGAATATATATATTATATACTTCTAATATTTTCATGAAACTTTCATTTCTATGGAATGTAGGTTCAAATGAATGCTGTTCGAACGCATTTGGAACGAGAACTAGCTTCTCGCGACGACTTGCTTGAGGAGCAAAGACGTCAGTCTCTTAAACGAATTAGAGAACTGGAGACTGAATTAGAGGAAGAACAGAGGGAACGTGCCAGTCATCTGAATGTTCGCAAGAAGTTGGAAGCTGATCTGGTAGATCTCAACCAACGTCTTGAGTTGGCAAATCGACAGAAAGAAGAGGCTGTCAAGCAGCTGAAAAAATATCAGAGTGTTAGTGGTGGTATTCAGCGGGAACTTGAAGATGCTGTGCGTGCTCGCGATCAAGCCTTAGAAGCTTCACGAGAGTTGGACAAAAAGTATCGCACCTTAGATTCAGAAAAAGTTCGTCTACAAGAAGACTTGAGTACAAGCGAAAGAAACTGCCGTACATTAAAGAATGATGTAAGTGAAGCCTTGGAAGAACTAGCTGCAGTGAATTCAGCCAAGTAAGTTGTGTGTTTCCCTCGAAATTATGAGTAACCAATATCACCCTTTAAAATCCATCACACTTACGACACTTTTATGTGCATCTTTCAGAACGGCAGCACTGGAGGAAAAGAAACGCCTAGAAGCCCGTATCACTGCTCTAGAAGATCAGTTAGAAGAGCTACAAAGTGCTATGGATTCTACTGAGGAACGTCATAAGAAAGCATTCAGTCAAATGGAGCAAGTTCAAACAGACCTAACCATTGAGAAAAATAACCTCGCACGTTCAGAGTCTCAAAGAATCACACTTGAAAAACAGGTGCGTTGAAGTCTTGTAATATTTCTTTTTACACCATAATGTCAAACTAAAATGTTCCTCTTATCGATGATGAGTATACTCTTTTCCTTCGTACGCTTTTTAGGTTAAGGAATTGCGCGAGAAATTAGTCGAAGCAGAGAAAGAATGTGGGCGTCGTGTGAAGGCTCAGTGTTCGTCCTTAGAATCTCGCTTGGCATCTCTAGATGAACAGTTAGAATCAGAAAAACTTGAAAAGTTGAATGCTAGCAAAAACTTACGTCGAGCCGAGAAAAAGTACAAAGATCTCCTTTTACAGGTCAGTGTCCCACTTTTTTGTGTCTGAAGAATTTTACGTAAATCAAATTATACTGTTGACTAACTTGATACTTGTGTATCGGTCTCAGTAGTTTCAGTTATGACGAACTGCAAACCGTAACGTACATTTTGAGTTATAACACGGACTCACTCTGTAAACACTGCCAATTCATTACATTTCCTTAAATGTTTCTAAAACTTTTTAGAATGAAGATTTGAAACGATGTAATGAATCGTTGAAAGAATCTTTCGAAAAAGCTCAATCAAACTGTAAACGAAGTAAGCGCGAGTTAGAAGCTCTCGAAGAGGAAAATACACGAGTAACTGCAAGATATCGTCGAATGCAACGAGACCTTGAAGAGGTGATGGAAGCTAAGCGAATTGTTGAGCGGGATTTGCAAAACCTTCGTAAACTCAGCCGGTATGTTTTTTATTTTATCTTATACCAAGCAATATAGTAATTTATGATATACGCCATACTAGTGGAAACGTAGTTCATCAGCTTAAGCGCTCAGCTTTCACCTAAAAAGCTCCGGGTTCTAATCCCTTTCCACCTGCTTTAGTATGGGCAACAAGGAAGGGGTAGTACATCAGCCTACCTGCAGACAAGTGTGGCTCATAGTCTGGGGCATAAAAAAACCGTTCTGTGAACTAATTTCAAACCCCTGTGCTATATGCAATAAATGAACTAAGCGTTTAGATTTTGTTAATTAGAAAATATGGACGTGTTTTTCTGCCTTCAGTGTGTGTGTGTGTGTGCACAGACTATATGGTTTCTGTTAAACACAGCTCATGGCATCCAGTATTATTTAGAGCAGTCAAAGTTTATTCTATCAAGCATATTATAGAGGGTGTACTATTTTTGCCTCATAAATCTGATGTGACCATAATAGAAGTCTATGATTAGTGTAATTGTGAAGCTCGCACATCTCTTATTTCCTAGTATTAATCTTATCTTATGCAATGAAAAACTACAGTAGTAGTTTGATTTCGTTTAATAATAATTGTCTAAAGATAGTTGTCCTAACTGATTCAATTCACCAAACTGATGATTCAGATGCATGCACGTATATAATGTAACCCTAAGTTTAATCTAAATCTCCTTGATATGTGACCATATACACGAGTTTTACTTTAACCTCACGTCAACACTATATCATTTAATAAATTTACAGTGTTATGCTTCAGAAATTTTTCTAACGCTCATATATTATTTTGGCATTACTAACCTCATCTTTTCCTTTCGTGTTTCACACTCTTCTTCATTTAATATATTGTTGATTGTGTTTTGCTCAATGTCGGCTTATATTTGTGCTTGCATGCATGCTTATATAATTTTTATTTGCATTTTTCTTTTAAATTTTGGTTTGGTTCTACAATTTAACCCAATTTGTTATTGCTCCTTTTTGTCTCATCGTCGGCAATATTATTTTTTTTTTGCCTATATATTTTATTTTTGTTATAATATCATTGTTATCATTATTATTGTCAATATCGGTTCAAGATCAGGTTTTTTGTATCTGATCATACTTCTGCTTCTAGACATGACGCCGTTCCCATCAATGATAGCTGGTTACCCAAACTTTCCTCTCATACTAGCGTGTGTTCTCTTGTTTTACACCTTGCCATATCCAACTGGCAATGATTAACACCGGTTCTACGTTCTGTTTCTGAACAAGACACTTTTTGCTTATCCCAGGACTCTTTTCTTGTTGTTATTATTATTATCGTCACCACTTTTCTATATTTATGTGTAATCACTAGATTTTTTTTGTGTCTGCCAGCTACTACTACTACTATGCAGTAATACAAAGAAGAAAAAAAGCAAGTAGTTTTCGAAGTCAAAATTCTGACCGATTCCTTGTTAACAGATCTTGCCTATAATTGACCTGTTTTTCTAAGAGAATACGAAACTACTATCTTCTGTTGGAATTTAAACTTGCTGCTCAGTAGTCTTGGCTTTTTGTTCCATAAGAGAAAACTCGGTTTCATTCTTGTTGTAATTCAGTTATCAAATAAAATTGTGTGTATTGTTTATGGAGATACTGCTTGTGTTGTTTTATCACTCTGTCTTGTCATCCAGGGATAATTTGGGAAGCTATGTGTGTAAGAACTAGGAGTACAATGCCTACTTTCTAGGGGATATACACGCTTTCATGGGTCATTCATTTGACGATGAATTTTTTATTACCTCCAACAGTTTCTATAAAGTCAGACAAATAAATAATTTTCTGTTGTTTAACTCACCTTTAAATGAACTCATTGACTTGAACACTCGGTTTAAGCTGATAGGCCATGAGTTCGAGTCCTGTTCCATCTGCTTCAGTCTGGCCACCGACCTTTGCACAATGAATGTGGCTTTTCGTCTGGTACATGGAAAAACTATTCCGTGTAATTGAGTTGGAACATATAATAATTATAATAATAATAACGTGATGATGTTTACTCATCATCAGAACTGTTTGGTGAGGGTGTTAATTGTGTCTCCTTTGTTCAGATATTTCAGTTTTTGGGTGTCTGTGTAACTTATTTTAGTTGTTGCATGTTACAAAGTTTTGTCTTTAAGTTCGCGTTTATTTTCGTTTGTTTTATTTGATTTAATGCTGTGTTGAGTTGAGTAGTATCGTGATAAGATGTTTAGTTTTTAAAGTAATTTCTGTGTTCCTTTATCTTTCAATAGTAGTACTCCCAGACCAAATCGTCAGTTACCATCGGTACTTTCTACGCGTACAGGTGATGATGGAACTCCGGATGAAAACCATTCAATGACTGAATTGGATTCTGTAACCAGTGATTTTGGCAGTAGTGGTGCAGGAGGAGGAGGTACTGTCAATAATAACAACAATCACAACACATCAACTGATGAGAATTAAATATTTACTCAAGATGATGATATATGAACTTTTATGCTATAGCGTAACAATATCCTAAAGCCTTTTTTTCAATTGTTTTTTTTTCTTCCTAATATCCTTAATAATATATATGCAAAAGATGGGGTTTATATTATTAATAGAAGAGAAATTTCTTTGCACATAATAGTTATGTATTTACGGTTAGAATAGGATACCTCTTTATTGTGCTGCTACTGCTGTCTGTCAGTGTTTTACACGTGTGTCAACAGTGAAAGGACGACTTTTCACACTATATAATTAAAATAAATTGCTGCTATTTGAAGATAGATATCTGTATCTGTATGAAAATTTATTCACACAATCAAATCTATGTTGATTCATGTCAGCCAGACAAAAGCTGCTATTAATTATTTATTGATAAGCATACTTTACACTTCACTTGTTGTCTACTACAATAATAATATAATATAACGAAACATACATTTCATTCCGTCGCACTAAGAGGCGTGCTAATTAATTGTTGCACCTTAGTGTGTTTGCTAATCTCCGGTTGTTATTATTATTATTATTGTTATTATTATTATTGCCGTTTTTCGGTCATTTTTTCCATGTTTTTTATATAATAAAAGTTTAGCAATGTTGGTTTTTCATTAATATAAAAAAAACTTCTGATTGAATTTTTAGAAAGTAACTTTTTTTGTATAAGTCACTTTGATATATTCACAAACTTTTAGTACATTATTATATATGCAGCTATATTCTTAACCAAGTTCTTTCTAAGTAATTACTCAATTTAATTTACTTAATATGAAAACAGCTTGGCCGATGGAGATGAATACATATGTTGTTCTTGCCTATCTGTGTTTACACGTTTGTATTTCCTCTGCCTTTTATGCCTATTTAATATGATGTGTGTTGTGTAACGCTTATCTATTCCCTGTCTCTCTGTCTGTCTCTATCGTGCTATTCTCTTTCGTCTTTTATTATTCACTGACATTATTAAACTATTGAACAAATTGAGTATATTTCGACATCCTTTAGTCGAATCGCATTAACGCATAATTAATGTGACGTTTTATCAACCTGACTTGTGCCTTTTTTTCTAAAGATAAACCAGTTTAATAAAATGTACTTCTTGTTTTATTTTATTTTAAGAATTTCATTACTATAAATCAAGTGTTTCACCTTAATTGTCTATTCCTTGTTGTATTTCATGGTTACTTGACTTGCCGATTTTGACTAAACAAAGTAATATAGTAGGCGAAAATCGAAATTAGAGGTGTTAATAGTGGCATTATCGATCTTCAGGTTTATATAGTGGGTTTTTACCTGAATATGTACTCTAGTGTTGAAAGTTATATACTCTGTTTTCATTATAATAAATAATCTAGTGCAGGTGCTAAGTTTTTCATGTCAACTGGAATACACCCAGTGTATATTTCTCATAGATGTACACTGATGGCACCAACACTCATTCTTGTAATATTATAGCATACAGTTAGTAAATCAGCCTATTTTCCTGGCAGCATTAACAGCAGAATTCATTAGCTAAATTCCCACTGTAGAATTTTGCAAAAAAGTGTATAGTGATTCGAGTTGCCACACTTCCTAGAAAGAAGCACACAAAACAAAGCAAAAATTACGAGAGAACTATAGTAGGGAAAAACAATTATGTGTAGAATTTAATGCATATTTCAGTCCATAGAGGATTAATGCATCTGCCGTTGAAACCAATTTTGAGCCATCCCATCGCTTCTTTGTGTTTCGAGGCTTCCCAGCCTAGCACTTTGCTATGCTCTTTATGACTCAAAACAACAGACAGTAACTCCATAGTTTGATACCACGCTTTATTTTGACCAACCATAACTCTATTCCGGCCTAATTTGTTAGCATTCCTTGATGACATCAGTCGTCACACATTTTTGTTACATTAATTCATGTTCCAAGCATCTAGACGGGACTGTATTGCGTATTCATCTTCAATGTCGTGTATGCTCATATTGTGTGTAAGAGCTTAGCCTTGACATATAAAATCCTATTTGGTTGCATGACTGATATTTCTTGTCCTCTGAAATTGTTATAACTGCCGTCGGTTATCACATCCCCTCTCTTAATTGAGTCTGATTAGTTCACTGGCACTTCCTAACGGTCCTGTCCCGTTTTTTCACCATCCCCTGTTGCAGTAGTTTGAAAGGCTTTTAGTCGGCTAGCAGCTTTCCCTCCCAATAAGACCAGTCATCTTGCATCTGCCAGTTTGGATGAAGCTGCAGAAAACATTTGTCATTGATTAATTAACCTTTGGTTTCAGGATATCAAGAGTGCTTGCCAATATTTCTGTATAGCTGGTTGAGCATTATGCCAGATGTCCTCGATATGAGTTTTGCTGTCACTCTCAACCTCACGTTTAGCTATTTCCTGCATAAATGAAGAGTTTGTGGGCGCATTGGTCTACCGGCATTATTATTATCATTACCTTGAGTTCCGAGTAGAACATAAAGCTTCAACAACACGTCTTCAGTTTCTTCTACTTTCTGCTGTCCTCTTCATCCGGGTTCAGGATCGCCCATAATCTATCATCTCCTCTTCGCACGATATCCTCCATATAACCCCCGCAATGAAGACCCACTTGAGTGATGGCCTGGTACGCGATATCATTCGATGGTCTCCTCAGTGTATGCCTGATCCATCTCCATTTTCTACTGCATATTTGTTGAGTAATCGGCTCTTGCTTGGTTTGTTCCCAGCCAGAGTTTCTTGGTACTAATTCTCTCTGACCGGCCATTTGATCTTCAATATGGAGCCAGCAAAGGCAGCTGTTGATAAAAGTCTTCAGTAACCTGTTGGAAATCCACTTCGTTACACGCCAAGTTTTTGACCCGTATAGAAGAACCGACTTGACTTTGGTGTTGAACAGAATCCTAATCTTGTTCTTTATGCTAAGTCAGTGTAAAAGATTTCCAAATTGGTTTCAGGTTGATGATGGCGTATATATATATATATATATATATATATATATATATATATATATATATATTCCGATTCTGACTTTGACTTCATCCGTTCCGACTGCCTTCCTTGAATATCGCCTTCAGAGAGTTCCAATGTTTCTCCACACAGGTCTCCTCTCCGTGATGCCCTGTGGTGCATCCAGCTTCGCTCTGATCTGATCTGTGGTGAAGGTATCCCTTATAGTTTTGTCCTTCAGTTTCTGAATGTTGAAATCTAACTGTGGCCTGTCTCCAGTTGTTCTGACGGATTTCAGCTTCACCTTGAAGGATTTTTGAACTAGATGATGGTCTGAGCCCACATCTGCTCCCATTCTCGACTTCGTGTTCAGCAAGCTGTCTCCACCTCCTTGAGCAACATTGAGATTAAATCAGTCTGGTTTGTGCTGTGCCCATCAGGAGAAATCCATGTTGCTTTGTGTATATCCTTGTGTTTGTACACGCTGTCACCAATCACCAGATCATTGAAAGCAAAGAGGTCTGCGAATAATTCTCCGTTCCCATTCATTTTACTGAGTGAGAGCCTCTCGACCCATGATGAATTCTCTCCCTGTATTATCAGGTCCCAGTTTAGCGTTCATATCGTCCATGAGGATACTGATGTCATCATTATGGATGTTGTCCATAAATATTCGTAGCTGTCAGTAAAAATCTTCCCTCTTCTCTTGTTCCACGTTGTTTGTAGCATTGACCTGAATCTTGCTGTCATTATCCTGGATGAAATTGGTCCTGACTTCATTAATACTTTGGCTGCTGCTGGCCACATCATGATGGCCACTCAGTGTGGTTGTCGTCTGGTTGACCAGACCGGAGTAGATTACTGACTCTCCAGTTGACAGTTTCGATAATCAACATCCGTTCGATCTGTTTTCTCAGATACCCAGCACCTCTACCCAATATCGTCGCACTTCTTTGGCTACGTGTACAGCCTTCCCAGCTGGCTTCGTACAATGTGCGGATATTCCACGTTCCCATTCTTATTCTTGCTTTCATTAGGAGAAGACACATCGGCTGACTGACTGGCCTCCCGAAGGCTTTGACCATCCCTCTGCGTCATTTCGCTTCTCCGATTCCAGCGAAAAAAGATTGTTATATGAATTTTATGTATTTTAAACATATTTATTTGTGGGTTGAAGTTTCATTAGCAGTTTGGCAGGTTTTTTGGTGTAGGGTTGCTAGTCCCACGCCCAACCCTCCCTCTTTACCCGGCTAGAATACTAGCAGGGTAGTTAACTAGGTGAGGTTCTGTCGGCACTGTGTTGGTGAATTTTGTAGATCCACCACGTTAGCTAGATGGGGTTAAGTGAATAACCACATTTGTCTCATATGAGTTATTCCGAAGTACGAGATACACCCAGTGCTCGAGATGGCATCATTCTGCCCAGTGTGACCTGTTTTCCCACTTGGCCTTAGGTCTGGACGTTGATGCTGCAATGCGAAGTAGACAACATGGTTTTTGAGAATCTACTGGCATTGTATTTGTAGCCTAAGCCACTTCATATGGTCGCAGAAGTAAGCGAGGAAACCTACCTGTAGAATATTACTAACAATACCGGGAAATTGAAGTTTCGTGGCGGTTAGGAACGCTATGTGCTCCTACGGGATTGTGTGGGCGTTTAATACGCCTAAGCTGGAATACCTCTAACAGAAAGACATAAGTGCATGTAGTCTAGGTGGTGATTTCTTGAGGCAGGTTTGAAGAGGCTTTTGGAATTGTAAAGATTTCACCACCGCAGGGTTGCTAAGGATATACAATTCTTGGGATTGACATTTCCTCCTGCCCCAGGGCGGAGTGGCAGTTTGCTAGCAGTCCGAAGTGAATATCCTAACTGCTGTTACGTGCCTATTCGCCCTCAGACTCATTATTTTGTTGAGGACTTACACTCTGGTAGTAACTGATCTTAGTCTGCCTGTAAACCAGAACAATCTTTGCGGTGTGGTAGAACGTCCAGAAATATTCATTGCAGCTGATGCAGTTAATCGGGTTACTTGTGCTGTTCAACCCCCACTACCACAGCGGGGTAGCAGCTATCAGTTGGTACTGCTTAATCTTACATAGCCTGTTATTTTTTTTACCTCAAAATAAATTGCTTTCAAGATGTCATTACTTTACCTTACTTACTTTACTTTACTTCGGCTATCTCCTACGGGAGGATGAGCCGGCTTCATGAACATCTCGAATCATCGCTGCCCAGGCTTACTTTTCACACTGGCCACAGGGCGCGTCGCTTACCGGGAACGCCGTAGCATGGTGAGAGTCGTTTGTAAGAGAGTTCACGAAGTTTCATGGGAATTTGGTACGAGTGATGTCCCCAGAATCGCTCGGCCTTTTGTTTGAGAGTGCAGCTCTAGCCTTTACACAACCAAGTGTGACCTGCAAGGCAGTAGGAGTGGAGTAGGGAGTCCACTATCCATTGGCAGCCGGTGACCGGAGTTCGGTTCATACGCCTTTTTGAATGGGGGCAGACATCCAGGACATCCGACAAGCCCTTTGTCTATACGTCTGCCGGTGAGCTTCATACGCCAGTCGTTGGAGGTTTGGAATCAGGGTTTAGCCATCTCCCCTAGACTGTCATCCAATGGACAGTCAACCCGATGAAGAGCGCCGGGCATCCGCTTTCGCCCTCTCACTTTGGTGAAAACACCTCTGCCACGTGAAGGCAGTGAGTAGGACTTCCTCAGGAGAGGCTGTGTAAGACGCCCGGTCATATGGGAGCGTTTCAAGAGGTGTGCGGAGGGGTGGCCAACCCGCAGCGCAAGGCACCCACCCCCGACCATCCTGAGGCTTTGGAGGCTCATTACTTTACCCTCATTTATACGACCTGGTCCCTGTGATAT